CTAAAGAATGCAGTGCACGGTAATACATAACGCACAGTTTGGTAGTAAAGAATGCAACGCACAGTACAGAACGCAGTTTGGTAGTAAAGAATGCAGCGCACAGTAGTAAAGAATGCAGTTTGGTAGTAAACAACGCAGCGCATAGTACTAAAGAACGCAGCGCACAGTACTAAAGGATGCAACGCACAGTACAGAACGCAGTTTGGTAGTAAAGAACGCAGCACACAGTAGTAAAGAACGCACAGTTTGGTAGTAAAGAACGCAGCGCACAGTACTAAAGAACGCAGTTTGGTACTAAAAAACGCACCGTTTGTTAGTAGAGAACGCAGCGCACAGTGCTAAAGAACGCACAGTTTGGTTATTAGAGAACGCAGTGCACGGTACTACATGACGCACAGTTTGGTAGTAAAGAACGCAGCGCACGGTACTAAAGAACGCACAGTACGGTAGTAAAGAACGCAGCGCACAGTACGGTAGTAAAGAACGCAGCGCACAGTACGGTAGTAAAGAACGCACTGTACGGTAGTAAAGAACGCACTGTACGGTAGTAAAGAATGCAGCGCATTCATTAAAAGTCCATTGAATGCAGAATGTTCATGTGTGAGTGGAATGTAAATGCATGTTTTCTCTCTTCTACAAGACTTATGACTTGCTCTGCTACACATGCTCCTCCTCTATGAAGGATTCCAGGCCACGCAGGATAAACATGCAGAACCTGCGCATCACTTCAATACTCTCAGGTTTCCCCCGTGACATTATTTGTATAGACTTCCTCTTAAGCTGCCCACACACCTTACAACCATGGCACGGCTTTCATCCTGCGAGGGTTGTAAGGTAATGAAAAGCTGGTACGATCTACCCACCTTGGACGTCCTCGCCTCTGTGGGGAGGGCTTCTGATGATTCCAATGCTGAGCGGGCAGTGTGCGCACACCGGCGCGTTAAGCATTTGTCTTCCGGGCACGCCACTAACTCGCCCAAAAATCTGAAGATTTTCGTCAGTTTTTCAAGCGTGCTCGGAAGACAAAAGACGTGCGACCGTGCAGTAGAAACGGTCGCACGCCTTCCATACACCTGCTGATTATCGTACGATCGCGGGACCACCCGCTATTATCATACGATAATCTTTACATACATGAAGAATCTCAGGGGAGGATGTGTGCTGCTCACATCTGGCCCAAAGAGAGGTGTAAAGTGAAAGAGCAGCAAACTGATTGGTTTTGCAGCACTGAAGGTAGTGAAATGTATGAAGCCTGAGGACGGGGATGTACTGAAGGTAGTGAAATGTACGAAGCCTGAGGACGGGGATGTACTGAAGGTAGTGAAATGTACGAAGCCTGAGGACGGGGATGTAAAGGGATCCTGAAAACTTGCAGCTACAAGAGTTGTATAGCATGTCTTATATGGTTCTAATGAATCTGCTGCTCGGCTTCATCCTTTCTGTGCCCGGCGCAGAGGATGGGGGTCAATGTAGACCTATATATAGTTGAAGAAAAGGAAAGCAGGAAGTTTGTCCTGGCACAACGACCTGATTTACTAATGAACTAGAACAAATGGATTTTGTAATATTAGCTCTGCAACAATCTCAGAGAGGAAAATGCTGGAAGTTCCTATACAGAGGCTGGAGACATAACCAGTTTTATATGCTTCCCCGGCCGGGGTATTGTTTCGGCAGGGCCTAGAAACCAGCGCTGGACAAATCCCAGGAGCCGGGTTGCCAACGCTCCCTACAAAATTCGGCTGGCACCCAACCTTTGAGGTTGTTGTCAGTGGAACTGGATCCTAAATAAAAGCCTGTTGGCTCCTGGATTCCATATTCATTTGTCCACCACACCACTGGCCTAAATTGGAAAGGGGGGTACGGCTGCAGGTGGGCATATTTTCTAAACTCAACAGCTTCTAAAGACATCATTGGCTTTTTAATTGCACTATAAAGTTTACCCAAACCTGTTAAACTTTCCCTTTTATTATAAGTAGTAAAATAAAGGTGAATGCAAACAAAACGTTACTATAACATGGGTCAAGCTGTACCATTAGGATAAAATGATAGTCATTTGTTTCTGGGGGAGATGGAGGACAATCAGCTTGGTTTTCTGTACCTTGTCTGATTACTGTCCTTCCCTAAGATCCACCAGCATGGGAGGTATCATCTAAACAAGCCTGTTCTGAAAAACCAAGCAGACATGTTTATGTGACAACGTATGGAAAACAAAGCTCTTACAACATTGCGAAAAACAGCCAATCTCTAAGATTTAAGTCTGCCCTGCATGTGTTTTAATGGTACTGCTCTTATGGGACTGGTTGTCTTGATGGTACTGCTCGTCTTTAGTAATAATGCTCTTTAGGGACTGGTTGTCTTAATGGTACTGCTCGTCTTAGTAGAGATCTGTCGAGACATAGTTGAAGTGTAAGAAACTTTTACCTCAGAGAGGTGGAGACAAGCTGTTCAGCTTCAGAAGATGGAGTTCTATGTTAGAACTTCTATTGATGACGTGTTCTTGTTAAAGAGTAATGCTGATAAATTTGTTGTCCATCTTTCCTCCACTACCATCTATCTCCGCCATCATCATCATCCACATCTGCTTCTATTCAGCATTTTTAGCCGGTCACTGGGAGGGAGGGAGGGAGTACACGACTGGCATTCTGTCATCTCAGGGAGAGAATATTTACTAAATTGTGTAGACGTAGTACCCAATAATAAAACACAGGTGTGTGAGTGTGAGAGAGAGCCGGGGCCATACTGGAGGCATATAGACCTAAAGCTGAAATCCAGCCTGATAGAAAAGTCATTCCATCCAGTTATGTAGTAACTGAAAAATAAATGTGTTACTTTTGTGCCAAAAAAAGTAAAAAATTGATTCCGTCAAGAGGGGGGGCAATGTTGACAGTTTAGGGACACTTCTTAAGTTGTCCTTTTGGGTATACCCCCCACCCCCTAAGATGGAACCTGCTTGGTCCAATACTACTTTTGTCAATCTTCACTGGGTTGCCCTGAGTCACAGAGCCTTTCTTCCGAAAGCATCCACACCCGATCCTCTTCATTCTGTACATGCATTCATGGTTACATTCATTCCAATGGAGAGCCATACTCAGGGAGGCCTCCAGCAGTCTTTCAGAGTGCAACTCTCCCCTATCAGAGTGGTTGGGGGCTGCAACGCGCAGGATGAAAAGGACATAGCGGGGATGCATTTGGAAGAAGGCTGTGCGGCTCCAGGCAGGGTCATAGAGTAAAGATTGATGGGTCAGAGGTAAGTATTGCTGTACTAAGGGGGGGTTCTAGGCATGCCTTAACCCTTTCGCTGCCAAGCCCTCCGGAACATTTTTCAAATCAGCTGGCCAAGCCATTTTTGAATTTTCTGCAATTTTTTCCTATTGGTTTGATTTTCAACTGCTGCGTTGCTAGCGTTTGTAAAAGACCCCCCAAACCATATATTTTCTGAAAGCGCAGGCCCGGTAGAATAAAAAGATGGTGATACTAAATTTGTAGGCCCTGCGATAATTGCGCAAATGTTTCTCAAATTAATATTAAACCGATAAAAATACACAATTCAATTGATAAAACACACCAAAATCACTATCAGTGCACAAAAAATAATAATTTTCTGACTAAATCTAAAAGATAAAACTGTATTGAGTTAATAAATAACAAATATTTGCAAATTTAAAATTGCGCCTTTTTGCGAAAAGGTAAAAAAATTACGGTACGCAAAACTGTAAAAAAGGAACTTATGTTAAAAAATTGTTTTCACGCTGTGTTGGTGTTTGTGTTGTGATAAAATGATACAGGCGTATATTTATTGCAACACAAAGATCACAACGCATGGCAATGCGTCACAAAGCTTTGCCATGCGCTGCCACAGTTAATTAAATTTTTTTTAAAAGAAAAAAATACATTAAAAAAATCATGCACTGCGATGCGTTCTAACAACGCACTGCAGCGCATGTGCATGGCGTACACCTCAATATGTGTATGTTATGTGGGGGGAGGGAGGGGTTGTGCTTTTTTAATTTTTTTTTTTTTTACACTTTATTTTTTTTACATTTTGTATTTATTTTTTTTTACTGTTGTAAGCACTTTTGTAGCTCCGTACGACGTACGTCCTTGGCAGCGAAAGGGTTAAAGGACAACTCATGGCAAAGCAACAGTTTTTAGCATGAACCTGCTACTGCATGTGCAATACAGCATCACTATATCATAGAAGGCACTACTGTATATTACCCTAAAATTCCCTGAACCAATATCTATCTATCTATGGGTTCAGGGAATTTTAGGGTAAAATACAAAGTAATATGCAGTAGTGCCTTCTATGATATAGTGATGCTGTATTGCACATTTCCTACTTGTTGCAGATTATATCTATCTATCTATGTAGATAGATAGATAGATAGATTCATGCAAGCCAGAGCTTCTGGTCCTTACCCCACACACTACATCTCATGATATATGTCTCTTACATGTACTTGCTGTTTCGTGACTGTAACAAAGGGGAAGCAGGAGAGGAGTTGGAGTTGAGGGGAACTATCACCTGCAGGTTTCTTTTACAAATGATTAATTGCATTTCACAATAAAACAACAAGTTCATGTTGTTGTGTAGTAATTACAACAAAACCATTATGAAGGAAATCTGTGGCTTAAAGGAAGAGGGATCTTGTGGGTGTGGAGTCTCCT